AAAAAATCCAAAGGAATGGAAATTTAAGCAACTGAAGCATCTTTAGAAACATGGGTGGAACACTATGACAGATAAACCAGATCCACAAAACGTAAAAGAGGAGGATAACTAGGACAGCATCTTCTAATTTAATTAAATAAGATAAACCACTATTCTAGAAAAGAAATCAGACAGCATTAATTCCTATTTATTAACAATAGCAAATATAGTGATTTCAGTTTCACCAGTAGCAGATTCTGAATACTATGACAGGGTTCACAAATATTATCAATAATATTGTACTATACAGACCTGTACCATATTGCACAAGCAAGCCCCAAAAGGCCACATGTAAATATAGTAGTCCGAAGGCACAAAGATTAAAAGAAAGGAAAAAGCTAGCCATCAAACATTGCCACTCAGCAGTAGACAAGTTTGATAGCTGTACCATACTGCTTTGAGAACTATGAGTGCTAACCAGAACAAGAAATTAACCTTGTAATTATGGCTTCCCCAAACATAACACACACACATCTCTCTTGAACATCACTTCATGCAAGGCTTCCTTTTTCCTTGGCAAGTACAATATCATAGATGGATATATGGTGCTCTGTGCTGTAATCAATCTCCTTTTAAAGAAGTCAAAGTGACCACCTGAGTTTTTTTTAAGACGTGTGTTAGAAATGTTATAAATAAATAAATGAAAACAAAAGAGTAAACTGATACTTTACAGGAAGTAGCCATGTTGCCCAATTTGTATACAGCCTGAAATATATTGTATCTGCTTGTGCAAGAGATATTCTGTTGCTAATCAAATGTTCCCCTGCATCTCTTGACATCCTAATCCAGCCACCTCATCAGAGAGCTTCTTCAATCTTCTGTGTGATCAAGACTAAAAGTCCAATACAGCGGGAATGATATAATTCACAAAGATTCCAACTGTGTACTCAGAAAATTAACTAGCTTTATAGATGACAGCTATTTTCTTTCTATTTTAAAATACAAAATACTTACAATACGGGAAGCTCCTTTTTCTGTGCCTTTATCAGATTTGCTTCCAGTTTGGTCCAAGGAGTGTTTCATCATTCTGCAGAGATGAGCCTCCAACTCAGATTCATTCTTGTTATCTATCATCGTTAGATGATCTAAAATCTAGAAAAGAACATGGTATCTTTTAGAGAGAATCTTTTAAATATTCCAGAAAACTATTCACATGTTTGGACAAATCCATTTGGTCTCACCTTGGGTCCCTTCAGTTTGCATAATGTATGAATCAAGGTCTTTAGAGTCCGTATTGGGAATTCACTTTTACACTGCTTTAGTTTTTCTTTTGGAAACACCTTCATAAAGATGTGAATGTCCAACATGATTCGGTCCAAGTTGATACTGTTGATAGTTTCAGGGAGAAGTCTTACCATCCTCCATAAGCACTTGGAGAAAGGAGAGAAGAGAAATGTTTACAAAGAAAATCAGTTACTTATGGAAAAGTATATCCTAATGCAGATTTGTCAGTGCCAAACGTGATGTTTTAAAAGCTTAAAATAAATGCCCATGAGCAAACCAAGTGTTTACTAGTCATTAAGACACCAACTCTTTTAACAGAGGCTTTTAAAGCTTTAAGTTTTCTTGCTAAGCATATCTATTAATGACAGTATATCACACTAACTTGAATTCATATTGCAATTTTTCCAGTAGAAAAGTATTAAGTCTATAATTATGACTAGCCATTTCACATCTGAAAAAAACAAACATATACTCACTTTCATTACAAGTTCTGAGAACTTGGGAGAACTAGCAGTTGCTAATAGACTGTCCTGGAGTAGAACAAGCAGGGCACTAGAAGAATTAAGTAAAGTAGCATTATTTATTTATTTATTTATTTGATTCATATGGCTGCCCATCTCACCGTGGTGATTCTGGGTGGCTAACATTTAAAACTGTAAAAGAAATAACATAAAATTACAATATAGGTAATAACAACTAAGATAAAAGCCAATCTGCCATAAATCAAGGAACAATCTCACAGGCTCCATCTAACAATGTAACCCCCATGCCCAGGAACACCCCAATGTCTTCAAGGCTTTGCAAATTAACATTAATTATACAAATCTTGCAGTTACACAAAATAACAAAGCAATAATTATTTTAGCAAAGACAACTGTTTCTTGCACGAAGCCATACAATTTCTTGCACAACATCAACTGGGATTTAATTCAAAGCAAGAAAGCAAACTGGTTAATATTTTCAAAGAAAAGACTGGACTATTTTTCAGATTATTTTTATTATGTCATACATATTTGAAGAGGAAGAAGACACTTAATGATGTATTCTCATCATGAAAAGATTCCCAACCTAATTTGCTTTCCTCAACCATTGCAAGCGTTGTATACATTCTCACAGAGAAGCAGCAAGGTACCATACAGGGGGTGTAATGCTTGGGATTTTACATGGGAGATTGTTCAAAATACAAGGGAATATGAACACAACACTTGTCTGCAACTCATGAAAGCATCCATGCCTTTTTCCAAGACAACATGGTTATTGCAGGGAGGCTTCCACTGCAGCCACACAATTATGGAAACGACATGGGTGCTTTAATGAGTTATAGACAGTGCTGCATTTATGCTCCAAAGCACCTCTTCTGAACTGCATCTGCTCAGCTTTACTAAACTACTGTAATGAAGAACAAAAGTATTTCATCAAGCACGTGTTGAAATATTAGTTAGTGTTAAGTGCTGTGGCAGAAGGTTGTACTATGAAAAAAAAAGACTTCTTTCATCTTATCATCAAGCTATTTACCTCAATATGTTGGTTTGGTCAGATTTCTCTAGAACTTTTACCACCAAGAGATTGACAGATCTGATAACCTGTTGGCCTTCCTCTAGATCTTCAACCCTTGAGTCCAGCATTAAGGTAATGAGGCCGTGCATCAAATCCTTCAACACTCCTGCAGAAGCCTCCCTTGCCAAGCTCTCAATCTGGAATAACTGTCAATTGAATTTAAGTGTTAGATATAATTCTCTCTTCTGAATAAAACTTAGAAGTCTCAATAACCCCTTCAGAGCCCCAATATCTGGCTGGTCACCGTGGGAAAACAACGTTGGATTTTGCTTGACTTCTTGGTAAGCCTGTGTTTTGAGAAAGGAATACACTTAGCAGTGTTAATGAGCAGGAAGAATTTGTGGAGCAGGACTGAAGAGAAGAGCCGGCTTTACATGCCAGCCCTGAAGAAATATGGTGGCAGACCACCACACAACAATAAAACACAAACTGTACCTCCTCTTAATGGCATGGCTTCTACTTTAAAGAATGTTGATGTCAGATGATTGACACTGCAGCTGAAAACTGCAGCAGATTAGAACAGGGCTTTAGGAATTGCACCAAGGTTTCTGGGAAGCTGCATTTACTCATCCCTGAAGGTAGCACTTCAAGGTTCAAAAGACTAATATATGTAAAACATCTAGATCATTTACCGAAGCACATTTAAAAAAAATAAAAGATTACATTGTGGACTCCCTTTCCTTACAATCTGAAACCATTTATCTTTTTTCCCAAACAAGTATATAGTAGATAAACATTATGTTATCAAAAAGTCATTAGGCTTCCAGGAACTAAGTTTGTGAATTGTTTCTGGTAATTCCTGAAATACAGGAAGAGGATAATGAATAAAAACATGCAACTTGGACTATGTATTGAGCAACAATCAGATAGATGGGGATTTTGTAACAGTATGTTGCATACAAGATTGAATGATACATACAAGATCTGTCTGACAGCCAGCAGTGCAAGGGTAGAGGTTGAAATTCTTATTATGTTTCTGCCCTTTTCAACTATTTGGGGGATTTAATTTGTTTGTATACAGGAGAATATGCCCCAGTATATACAAGCCTATCTGGTTAAGCAAGATAAGATCTAGAATAAAAATCATTTTCTGACAAATATTAGAATATTCGTTTCTCCGAATTCATCTCTAACACAAGGCTACATGTTAGAATAAACCATAATTGGACACTTCACATGAAAGTTTGTTAAATTTTGTTCTGAGGAGCATCTTGGTTAGGATCTGAAACTGGTAATAACAAAAGAGTGCTAGTCATAAAGATATATATATATCTTAATGCAAGAGACAAGGAGATTAAAAGTATACGTTTTATTTATCCCCTCAGCTCTGGAATGTCTACCAAATAAATACTATTGATTTCAACACTTTTCTCTCAGGCCCTACACTAGTTATAATTTTTTTTTAGACAAGAAAGTTCAATTTCAGAAGAATGTACCCTACTGATAGCCATACCCTAATCTATGCCAATTCTTAATCTTAAATTCTTCCTTATACTGAAATTTGGTGGCATTTTTCCTTTGCCAAAATTAACAGTGTCATCACTCGAGATGTCCAAGACTCATTAAATCTTAGTCAGGAGCCAGACAATAAATCTACTTAAAGAGGAAAATATACTGTACATCAAGCAATCTAAATGCAGGATAAATTAATTATATCTACTCTAGGTATAAATTAATTTATCCTGCATTTAGGTTGCTTGATGTGCAATATATTTTCCTCTTTAGATAAATTTATACCTACTCTAAAATAAAATAATAAATTTTACATAAAACAAATATAAGTAATAAATAAAATAAATTAATACCTAGGTATAAATCTAGGCACAGAATAAATTCTAGGTATAAATAAGACTGAAGCTTTTGCTCATTTTACAGTGACAAAAAAAGTAAATAAAGAACACTTACTGAAATCATGTTTCCAATGATGCAACTGTACAACTTGACTATTTCATCCTTGTCCAGTTTCTCATCAGCCATATGAGTATTGTAAATGAGTCGGAGCTGCATGAATGTAGCTATTAGGAACTGGTCAATGTGGCCCG